CCATTCCCCTCAGCGCGGCGCGAGGCGGAGGCGGGAGCCGCGCGGTCGTTGCAAGGCCTTTATTAGTGCCAGGCCGCCGCGGGCCTTCGCTGCCCTGAGGGGCAGGAGGCGCGCGAGGACGGCTATTTGCAGTACTTCTTGGTGTCCAGCCTGTGGTACTCGGGATTGTAGGGCGCCTTGGCCATGCATATGGCCAACGTGCGGTCACAGTTGCAGATGAACATCTTGCACTCGTCGTTCTTGCCTGGAGGAGAGAGCAGGAGCGGTCAGACCCTGCAGCTCCTTCACCAGGCACCGCAGTGGCTCTGGCAGGCGTTTCTGCTGCCAGGGCATAGCCGTTTCACTGCTGCCATCCTTTTGGGGGTGTATGTGCTTCTCCCCGCTAACCCTCTGGCCTCAAGGCTGCGTGCAACTTCCGTGCTCCGCCATTCCTTCCCTGCAGTTCTCTTTGCCAGCCTATCTGCTATTTATCTGCGTTTGAGAGCCCTATAAAAGCTCCACTGTTACGTTAGAGGTATCTGGCAGAAGCTGTGGAACACTTCCCAGTTAGCATGCTGACCACCTAAGTACCACCATTAAAGGGACTCCCAGAAAAGTACCACAGGAACTCAATCCCCTGAAGAGGGGACAGGCTGCCCTATGTACTGCGATACCGTATATCCTCCATAAAGTTTAAATTGTGTGGTAATGAAGAATGTTCACTCGGTGCCGGTGTGAGGTGCCCCGTTTCTACCAACCAGCTCCCTGGCAGGGACGTGCACCGCACCCTCCTGCCACAGACGCATCCAGTGCGCCGCGGCCCCGTTCCTTCAGGAGAGAGACTGGAGCAATGTTTGAAGCGGAGTGACATGGAAGTGGACGTACTGTTACACGTAATCTGACTGTTGGAGCAGCTGAAGCTGTATGACTGTGTGTAGGGGTTGTCCACGAGGTATCTGCATGCTTTTAGTTTCTTTGCCTGCGAGTAGCATTCGTCATGTGCTTGACAGCACCTGGGAAACAAGGAGGAAAAAGGCAGAAAATACTAGAAACTCATCTGACCTGTAAGACACATAAATACGCTAGTATTGCTTTGACAAGGCGTTGAACAACAAAAAAAAGATACCCAGTGATAAGAGAGCAGACACGAAGGACCTCAAAGGGACATGGTTCTGCCAGCTAATGGTCCAAGAGATGTCTGGTACACATGTACTTACTGGAGCATCTTCACAGAGTTGTCCATTGGGCACAGAGAAAGCAAAAGACAGCATTTACCCTACACTCCCTGTCAATGGCCAGTAGCTGAAGAGCTAACAGCTGACACAATTCACTGCGTCTCGGCTGTCAGTTTTGTGTGATCTCTAAACTGCCCAAGCCCCTTCTTAGCATCTTGCAGCTCAGCTCTGCATGTGTTGATGGTTGTGCACAGGGCAGTGGGTGCGCAGAGCTGTGTCTGGGCTGCTGGCACAGCACTGCCGCAAAAAAAAAATGCTGGAGAAAGTGCAGGTTAGCTGCCGCAGAAGCAACAAAAGAGTTGTTGGGATTATATTTTCTCTTAGTAATAAGGAATCAAGGTGTGATGTTACACAGCATTTTTCCTTGAATTGGTCTTTGAGAGAAAGCTTCACTCACAGCAGCCGGCGAGTTTTGTGAACATTCATAGGCAGGGCCAGCTGAGATGAAGGTGGCGTGCAGAACCGTGAAAGCACAGGCAAAGGAACAGGTTTGTCAAAGCAGAGTTTTACAAACCTGTCAAGCTCATCCACTGGTGTTCCCCTGCCTCCCAAGCCGCAGTAGCAGCCGTAATCAGCAAATTCCAGCAGCGGATGGCTGTCCGGGATGGTGCATTTGATCATGCTGCGAAGGTTCCACATGGCCATGGGTGAGACGGCAGCGCTGGCTGCGCCCACTGAGAAGGGACACAAAGGTTAGAGTTAAGGATGGTGTTACCAGTCCAGGGGTGCTGGGGGATGAGTGCCACCTACGCACCAGACAGCAGGAAAAGCAGGGCCAGGGACTTCATTCTTGGAGGACTTGACAGAGAGCCTGGTGCTAAGGAAAATGCGTCTCTTTATAAGACAAGCTCACCTTGACACAGGTATGAGATAAACAAGCCAGTATTTATGTTACTAAATGCAGACTTCTTCCATCAGAGGCTGTGGGCAGGAGGTCGTGACATGATCAGTTGAAGGCCAGTGGAGCTAAATCTCTGAAAGCCAGGAAGGCAAATATTTGTTCTCTAGATTTTTGCTATTAAATTCTTTTAATGCTACTATTAGAAGCCAGCCTGAAAGATCTGAGTGTTTTTAAGGTCTCTCTAGTAGAAAAATAGTAGTAGTGTGGTAATTACGTTGGAAATCGGTGGCACACTAATATCCATCCTACTTATACTGGCATCCTCTTTTCATGGGATCCCACTTACCATTAATCCTGTATCTCTCCATGGATTCTCCTGGCCTAGTTCAAAGAATAAGGTACAGGTCATCCATTCACCTCAAATGACAATTTGGCATGAGCTGAACTGAAAAAAATTCAAGCTGTTTTTTTACTTCAAAACCATATAGGAGAAAGAGGTACTACTAGGCAAAAAAACAGGAGCCAAGCAACCAGGAAAGCCTCTGTATCTGGCTTCAACAAGGAATAGCATCTGGTTTTACGTGACCTTAAGGGAGTTATACTGGAAATGAACGGGGTTTAAAAGTTTCAACATACACAGCAGACTTCAGTAGCTTAGACAGCAGTTTCTGTTTTTTCCAGCACCAAAGCAGAATCCAGTTAAGCCCTTTTGTTCTCTATGCTAAGGCATGAGGCGAGTTGGGAACCCTGAAAGAAGATCAAAAGATGGGCAAGAAAGAGCTTCCTAGAGTCAGCATGGGGTAAGTCCAAAATAACTGCATTTATATTTAGACCCCAGAGGCTCCAACACTGTTAGGGCTATAGGTTTGGCATTTTTGCATACTCAAGATACAGATCCTAGGCTGCTCACTTGATAGTGAGAGTCTGCGTTTATTTCTAAAGCACCGAACAAGCCTTCGGTTTTTAAGAGCAGAGGAAGAGTCCTACCTTTCTGCAACAGCCTAATATACCAGAGTGCTTATTCAGGAAGCTTAGGGTTCAGCACCCTTCAGTAGGTTCAAATGCATGTTTCTATAAGGGGTGATGAGGACATCTTCCATCTCATAGTAGCTGAAACTGCCAGGGTGCCTAAAGTATCCATAAGATGTTGACATACCCATAGCTAAAGGTAGACATGCTGTTCAACAACTAGAACTATTCTGACTTTTTTTGATCACTCACAAGCTCTCTTGATTCTCTGGGATTCCCCACTCACAGGTTACCTAAAGCCAAACCGACGTGGAGTTACAGATTCCAAATTCTCATGTCCTAACAGAACACTGAACAAACATGAAAGGCTGAGGTAAAGGACAGTCTGTGCCATAGTTAGTTCAGAAAAAAAAGAATTTAATCTTTTGCCCACAGATCAATCTGTTGACTTTCCCTTCAATATCCATGTAAGTGTTCTCTTTTACCCTTGCTACTCTGGCCACCTTTACTCCTTTTTTTAAAATTATTTCTCTGTTCTCTTACCTGTGGACCTTAAGACTCTCTGGTTCCTTTTTCCTCACTTAATGTCCTATTTATTAGTGATGTTGCAAAGAAAATTTCCAATAAACTGGCCTTCTTAAAAAAGTCACAAATCAAAAATACTGTCTTATCTTGGATTTCATACATTTTAATTCAACAAGAGGATCACCAAGTGTGGGAAAGTGAGCACATGAGCATTACAAGAGTGCCTCATGAGAAAAATCCCAGCAGGGTAAAGATTTTTCCACCAATGCTATTTTTGGTTTCTCCCAACCTGTGCTGCATACAAAGCCGCTGGTCCTCAGTATGCTTGTGAGGCCATCCCAACTTACAACTGGTTCCTAAACTTACAGGCTTGAGCCTTGTATTATTTTTAAGAATCTTCTATAATTAAGACCTGTTGCACAGGGTTGCCTACTATTTCACACTGTTAGAATTCACCTCTCTCTCTTAGTCTTGTCTGTTAAGGACTTTTCTTTCCTTCCCATTTCCATATGTTACTTTCTTAGATGTAGCCTTCTCGGTCCACCGTAGTCATTGAATCCAGAGCATGAGAGCCAAACTTCTAAAGACCGCACTGTCTCCTCCTTTCTTGAACTTACAAATACATATACAAATCATCTGTAACGTAGGGAAGAGACACAATCTCTGTTAAAGCCAGATCTGCCTCCCATTATAAACTGGGCCACTGCCAAAGTCTGGGAGCAGAACACAGAGTCAGGGCTCTGCCTGGGGCTTTTTTCCTAATGGCAGGATATGACTCCTGCCAGGTCCACCTTCACCTGAAATCTCCTCCATCTGAAAATCTCCCACCCCCGAATAATGAGAGAGAAGGACAGTTTTCAAATAATTTATTAGGAATTTAAAACTGAAATCTGGAAAAAGGGTTACAGGTGTGGAGAGAACAAACATTGAAGTGTAATAACTTACTGGCTTAAAAAGACAGCTTTATTTCTTTTAAAAAAAATGCCCACCCTGAAACCGGAGCCCCAGCCTCCAGGCAGTGGCAGCACTGGCCAGAGAGTGAATCGCAGCCCAGCAGCAGCACAGCTGGCCTTGGATGTCTGGAGGGGGCACGGAAGCAGTTCAGCGCATATACCAAGACGGAGGAAAGCGCTGTCTGCAGACCCAAATTTGAAGTATATAGAATAAAAATAAACCCAATAAAATGCAGCTCTTCTTTACTTAGGAAATATTTAAAAAAACAGACATACAGACTCTTGTCTCAGTAACAAAAATTATTGCTTTGTGTTTTCAGTACTGATCTGTTAAGTACCCTCTTACCTAAACAGAACTCTCCAAACGCATCGCCCAGGTCAGAACAAGCTCCGGCAGACGGGGAGGGATGGAAGAGAAGGGCGGCCCTGCGGGCACTGTCGCCCTCCCAGTCCTATTCTAAATGCCCCTCTCCCTTACAGGGGCTCAGTTTGGGGGAAGAGAGGGAATGATTTTTAAAACTTAAGATGAAGCTGTTATTTCCCTGGGAAAAGAGTTTGGCTGCATCTTAATAAAAGGCTTAATCACCCCCCTTAACAAGGTCTTTGGTTCACTGAAATCCAGACCCAAACCTGCCCCATGTACTCCTGCTGGAGGCTTCCCCCGGCAGAGTGCTTGTTAGCAGGGGCCTGGACTGCGCCAGGGGAAGCCCCAGCAGCCTCTGGAGAAGGGACCAGATCACCCCTGCACAGGACAACGGACAAATTCCCACAGTCTTCAGAACACAGAGTAAAGCAAATGGGAAGCTGCAATTCTATAATTCATATAATCCCTGAGAAGCCCTTAACCCGCCCCCAAATCATCACCCTAATGCTTTTCTCCCCCGTTAATGACTCCCCAACCCAGCGCCCTGCCCTTCAGAGAATGACCACCCAAATCTCCCCCTGGCCCTGGCTGACAGCCCTTCCGACACCCTCACCTCCCGAGGAGGATCCCCTTTCCCAGGAAATCTTGACACAAGCGATAGTGTTTGGAGAGTGAATTCCTTTCAAAGTAACCAAGACAAGCAATGGCGGTAAAGCCCTTTACCTAAAGCCAAACCAGAGGCTGGCACTACGGAGCCCAGTGATGGAGTCTGTACATCGAGCGATTGGAAGCAGCTTTAACCCACTCAGCAAAACAGCCGATGGCCGGTACGTTTCACCCCCGCCCCCACCCCCCCTTTCATCTCATCAGAGGTCTTAAAATCTTACAGTAAAAGGTGTACAAAAAAAGAACGGAGTCCTGTCAGGATTCTGCTGGAGAGTATTGCTCACACTGCGGCACCAAGTCCAAGACCTGGAGCTGCTCCTTGGAGCCAGGCTGCAGGCGGCAGCCAGGTTCAGCTCGCGATATTTACATATTATACAGGAGGAAAAAGAAAACCCCACGTAAAACTAAACCTAGGGAAAAAAAAAAATCTTTCAGCTGTAAGGATAGTGTTTTTCACTTAGCAAAATATACATTTGTTTTGTTCCATAGCGATGTCCAACGTTTTCAGATCCTTGGAGTTTCACACTTTTCAAAGCCTCACATTTACAAAACAGAAACAATTAAAAACAGTTTCTTTAAAAAAAATAGAAATACATCAGTTCCTCTCAGCCTTTGCTCTCTCTGTGTCTCTTTCTTCCCTTCAGAACTGCATTCTTGTTACATACCGTGCTTTAAAAACACTGACAACAACAACAACAGAGTTGAAAATATTCCAAACAGTTTCAAAGCCAAATAAAAATACTCCTCAATAAAAACTACCTAACACAATCACAAAGCCAATTCATAAAATATGTCTACTAGCTCGGGAAAGAGCAAACAACAAAAAGAAGGGGTAGCCCCAAAAAAAGATAAAAAAATAAAATAAAAAAATAAAACTAACAGCTAATAAAATAAATAAAAGAAGAATCGGTGGGCTGGGGGCAGGGAGGGGGGAAGCGTAAACCGTCGGTGGTTAGTAAGAAAGCGAGATGATCTCCTCAGGTTCAGTCCAGTGTGGTCTGGTCAAATGGAGAGATCGGGGCAGGGCGGCAGGAGCCTGGCAGCCAGCCGGCAGTGTGCAGTTTGATTCAAGAAAAAGGTAACCTTGGCTCATCCCCCGAGGCTCACCAGATCCTCCAGCCGCTGTCCTCGGTTAGGTCACTGGGGAATCTGTGGGACACAGCAGGGGAGGGAAGGGACAGGATCTAGAACAATCAACAGCTTTTCTCTTGGGGTCTTCCTCCAGTGTGATCTGACAGAAATGCTCGATACCCAAACTTGCCCCAGCACAGACTTGCTGTGCATCTCGCTGGCACAGTGACAGGGCAGCAGAGGTGCTTCCATCTTTAATGGCAACGTGCACGCCTGGGAAACAAGGCCCCACACGCCGTGCAGCCTGCCTGCCCGGACCTGTGGCACTCCCGGCCCCCGGGAGGCCTGTGACGCAGAGGGGTCCAGCTGTTCCTCCAGTACTCAGCTCAGTGCAGCCCT